GTGCCAAAGATCGTGGTGCGCATTAAAGTCACCTACTACCATACGGTTTTCACCTCTGAGGAGCGCACCTATATCAGGGTGATATCCTGCCGGGCAGCAGGTGACAGGGGGTATGTAAATGTTAAATATTTCGAGCTCGACATCGCCTGACCGGATAGCGATGCCCTGACATTCTAGGGTGGTATCCCTGCGGTCGATGTCTGCTTCGATAAGACGATACTGCACGGTGTGGTGCGTGATGAACGCTAAGCCACCACCATTATCTCGCTCGCGATCTCGACGGTGCACGTTGTACCCGGCGCAATTCAACAAAGTTGAATTGCTGTGCAGCTTCGTCTCTTGGACCGCAGCTATTAATATACCATGCCGACACATGAAGACGGTTATCTCCTCAATCTTGCTCTGTAGCCCGTTACAGTTGAATTGGAGGAGCTTCATGTGGTTCGGGAGACGTGTCGTGATGTGGGGTGTGAGTGAGGTGTATGTTCTTGCCGCCGTTGGCTGTGTGTGCTGCTGAGGTGGTTGCCGCCCTGTGGTGGTGGTGGGGGGCGTCGAAATTGACGTCTGCGACCGAGCAGCACAGCACGGGCCCTCGAAATTCCCCGTCCAATCTCGCGTGGTACGCAGACCTGAACATGCCCTAAAGTGGCACCAGCCAAGGCAGGTATTGCACTTGACTGATGTCACATTACGGAATATTCTGGTCTGACATACCGTGCAGATTGTAGGGGGAACCAGGAGTTGTTGGCGGCGGCGTGTGGGTGGTGGTGCGGTTGTGTGAGTTATGTGGTCTGTGGTGGCTGTGGTACGGTCTGTGGTGTTATTATGTTGTTGTGTAGTGGCGACTGTGTGTGGTTGCTGAGTGAGTGTGTGGGGCTGCACGGGCGGACTATCGTTTGCCGTGGAGGCTGCTCTGTTTGAGCAACAGGGGGCCACGTAGGACGTGGTCCACTGTCTGTGTGTCCGTAGTCCCGAGCAGACCCTGAGGTGACTCCACCCCTCGCAGGCATTACACTTGACTGAGGTGGAGTTGTGGTGTAATCGTCTTCGGCATACACAGCAGGTGTATATTTCTGGCCCAGGGTTTGACTCGATGCCAGCCCTGAGTAGGAGAATGCGTAGTGAATGTTGCCCTATGGACGGACAACTTCTGAGATACTTCGCCGACCTAAACGGGGTTAGATCGCCGAAACAACAGCCCTTGGTCGGGTGAAACCCGAGTCATTCCGGTACGTAGAACCGGCTGTCGTGGGAATTTAATCTATCGGACCTATGTGTGAATCACGACTGCAGGGACACTAATTGTCAAGCATTAAAAAAAGTTAAAAATTGAATTAGAAAGAATTCAGTATTAGCAATTAAAGTCGACGACTAAATGTCTGTACTTGAATATTGGTGGTATTAGGACAAATTTTAACCAGCTTGAAGCTATATCATATTCTACAAGATTCGATTTTATCTGTGTGACCGAGACTCATCTAACAAATTCAATAAGCAACAGTGAAATGAAACTCAGTGACTATAAAATAGTGAGATGTGATAGTATATCAAGTCACACCGGCGGCGTTCTTTTCTATATAAGCCCTGAATGGCAATGTGAAATAATAGAGGAGACGGCTATTGGGAAAAGTATATGGTGTCTAAGTATAAAGGTCAAACAAAAAAATGTAAATATGACGTTATTTGGATTGTATCGGTCGCCTGACAGGCAAAAATCTCCAGACAGTGTATTGTGATTTTTTTTAAGGAAAAAATTGAACAATTAAGTGAGACGGCTACAGAAACTCTGATAATGGGAGATTTCAACATCGACTGGCTGGTGAATAGTTCTTCCCGACAACAAATTTGTCAATCAGTAACAGACAATGCATTTAAACAAATAGTATTGGAGCCAACGAGAGTATCTCGAACCAGTGCAACCTTGATAGATTATGTATTGACAAACATTTCTGTCATAGAAGCATACGTTAAGACTGATTATAAAATAAGTGATCACGAATCCATAGAAATTAATATAAAAGTCGGACAGCTAAATCGCAAAAAACACAAAACCACTATAAAAAATTTTATTTTTAACAAAGAGCTATATATTGAAGAAATAGCAAACAATAGTTTTGCAAACATTAAGCAGAATGCTAATAACTTGAACGAGATGGTTGACCTGTTCAGTGATAAATTAAAAGAGCCCATTCAGAATATGGTTATAACTAGAACAGTTACAAACAGAAGGAACTTTGATGGGTGGTTTGGAAGAAAATTACGCAATATGAAACAAAGAAAAATTCAATTATATAATGCAGCAAAATGGTCCAGCTCTTTTATGGCCTGGCAAAAGTATAAACAGTATAGGAACTTCTATGCTAATGAACTTCAAAGAGCGCGAAATAACTACATATCCAAAAAAATTGATGCGTCAAATGACCAAAAGATAATGTGGAAAACAATAAAACAATTAGTGTTAAATGAGGAGAGAGCCGAAAAATGCAAAATAATCGTAAATTCCAAAGAGCAAAAAAAAAGCAGTAATTGCTAACGAACTAAACAGGTTTTTTGTAAGAAGCATCGAAGACCTCAATAGAAACATCCCCCAAGTGCCCTATACCAGCAATATAAAACCCTGTGATACGCAATTTAAATTTAACCCCTTAGAGTTAAACGACATCAAAAGCATACTTAAATCCATGAACAATAAGAAAGACTATAACTTTATTTCGGCAAAAATTATACTGAGCGTATTTCATATAATAGGTCCAATTCTTCTTGAAATCATTAATGCATCTCTACAATATGGAGATTTTCCCAACAAGTGGAAAAGGTCAATGGTAGCGCCTGTGGAGAAAGTAAGAAACGCGGTTAATCCAGAAGAATTTCGTCCAATAAATATGTTAATGACTGAAAGCAAAATACTCGAAAAAGTTGTTCATAAGCAATTAGAAGCCTATATGGAGAACAATCATCTGATCTCTGAACCCCAATCGGGATTCCGACAACGCCACAGCTGCGAGACGGCGCTAAATTTAGTAGTATCACATTGGAAATCAGAAATGAACGAAGGAAATTGTATAGTTGCTGTATTTTTGGATTTCAAGCGAGCTTTCGAAACAATTGATAGGGATATCCTATTAGAAAAAAATGAAGCGTTATGGAATTGGAGGTGTTGAAAATCAGTGGTTTAAGGGTTACTTAAGCATCAGATGGCAGTGCACCAAAGTCTCCGAAACCGTCTCGAGTCCTCGGCCAGTAATGCTAGGTGTACCCCAAGGCGCAGTGCTTTGTACTTTACTCTTTTTAATATACATAATATATGGAAAATATACTACAGGGAGTAAGGATCTGCCAATTTGCTGATGACACGTTACTGTATACGACCGGAGATTCATGTCAGGAATGTATTACTCGGTTAAATGAAAACTTGAAAAATGTCAATATATATTTCAATATGAACAAGCTAAAACTTAATGTTAGTAAAACGAAAGCAATTGTAATTGTAGCGTATTTAATTATAGAATTATATTTTTAAAAAATTTTATTTTTATATAAACTTATTTTTAATTTAGCGTATTTTAAATTTCAAAGAAGAAAAAATTCTGAAGTAATCAAAAATTTTCTTTTTGATTTACATAAATTGAAAAAGAACTTAATTCAATAATTTCAAAAATAACAAAGTACAAAAATGAACAAAGTACAATAGTAAATAGTATTAACACTACATAATCAACGGAGAAGCGCATGATGATCTGATTATCAACGATGAAATAATAGATAAGGTCGATGAAATTAAGTATTTAGGTATTGTCATCGATAAAAAATTTAATTTCGATAAACACAGATTACATTTGTAGTAAAATTTCAAAAAAAAATTGGATTTTTCCAAAGAATGCGTAGGAAAGTGTCTATAAATAGTGCCGTAAAGATATTCAATGTTATGATTAAGCCACATTTCGAGTATTGTTCGTCCATACTATTCCTAGGGTCTAGTGAGATGAAAATCAGAATGCAGAAATTGCAAAACAAAGGAATGCGTTGTATTTTACTGTGTAATAGGCTGACCCCGATCACATATATGCTCGAAACTTTAAAATGGCTGAACATTAACCAAAGAACAGTGATTAATGTTTTACTGTTTGTATTTAAAATGAAATATAATTTGTTACCGAAGTACCTAACGAACCAGATCGTATATGTAGGAGATGTACAACCCTACGACTTAAGAAACAAGAATGATTTCAGAATTAATTTCTATAAATCTAATAAGGCACAGAATATTTTGTTGTATAAAGGGCTGAAACTATTTAATGAACTGCCTAGTAATATAAAGAATGAAAAAAACATCATTGCATTTAGAAGACTGATAATAGATTACGTTAAAGAAACCATATTTTAATTCGCAATAAGTCTATAAGATAGTATTGGAGCTATGTATATGTAAAAATGTACCTGAAAGTTTAAAAATAGCTAAGGCTAAATAAAGAAATAATAATAATAATAATAATAAAAACTCATCCGGTGTAAGCCCGGTTTAGGCTGAAGAAAAAGGCAAACGTGTTAAATGTTACAATTGCAACGGACACGGACATATAGTGGCAAAATGTCCACAACCTTCGTAGAAACCACGATGGAGTAAATGTTCAAAGGTTGGACATGAGACAAAGAAGTGCACAGCGGAATCAAAAGTGACGGTTGCTAAGATCGACAGCAACATAGGCGAGCAAAAGTTTATTCTGCCAATCGTCGAAGAAGTCGAAGGTGAAGGGGTAAGGTATCAAGCTTTAATAGATACCGGCAGCGATCACTCGCTAAGAAGGCAGTCAGCTACTATGACTGACGCACATACGGAGCCGACGTATCAACGGTTGCAAGGGTTTGGTGGTTCAATTGTTGAGGTAACACGAATTGTAAAAATGCGAATCAAGTTTGGCGACAAGGTCATTGAGGCAAATCTGTACGAGGTCCCGAACAACATGCTCAATTATGCTCTGTTGCTTGGAAGAGATGTGCTGTGCGGGCAGGATAAACGGTTGATCATTGACGCAGAGTCAATGATGCTGCAAATTAAAACCACGAACCAGTTTAACGTTAATAATGATCTGAAGGAGGACCAAAGGCAGAAGGTACAAAACCTGTTAGCGGATTACGATGTCTGTTTCGCAGAGGGTATTTCCACGCTCGGCAGATGCAAGACAACGTCGATGAACATTGAGGTTGCTACTCCAGGTCCGATTGTAGGTAAACGGTACCAAGTACCATTCGCAAAGCAGCAAGAGCTATCAACGATATTGAAGGAGCTATTGGCTAACGACATTATTCGGCCCAGTGTATCACCCCATGCAGCATCCGTAGTTCTGGTAACAAAGGCCAACGGCGAGAGCAGAATGTGCGTAGGTTATCGCGCGTTAAATGCGGTAACCGTGCGGAAACATTTTCCGATGCCAGTGGTTGAAGAACAATGGTCAAAGTTAAGTGGCGGGCGATTTTTCACAACGTTAGACATGACCAGCGGGTATTATCAGATACCCATAGAAGAGGAGTGCAAGAAATTCACAGCGTTCTTCACACACGAAGGCTTGTATGAATTCAATGTAATGGCATTCGGTTTAGTAAACGCGCCGATGGTATTCCAAAAGATGGTCATACGAACTATATCAATACTCAAATCACGAAACAAGGTGGTTAGCTACGTGGACGAGCTAATTATAGCCACATCGTCTTACGAAGATGGTATTACGGTACTACAAGAGGTTTTGGAATCGGTGAAGCGAGACGGTCTGACATTGCGGCCTTCTAAGTGCGTGTTCCTCTCCAGTGAAGTCAGCTTCTTAGGACACGAGATTTCCAGCGCGGGTATTGCACCAGGAGAGGCGAAGACGTGGTGTATTAAAGAGTTCCCACAGCCAACAAACGTAACTCAGGTAAGGCATTTCCTGGGATGAACTGGATTCTTCCGAAAATTTGTAGGGAGATACAGTCAGATAGCAACCCCATTAACCACGCTATTGAGGAAGGACGTTAGCTTCCAATGGGGCACACCAAAGCAGGGAGCATTCACGAATTTGAAAGAGGCTATAACTAGTAAGCCGGTACTGACTTTGTACGACCCTCACAAAGAGCACGAGGTACATACGGATGCCAGCCACGAAGGACTATCCGGAATTCTGTTCCAGCGCGAAGACGACGGGGAAAAACCAGTTTTCTTCTACAGCCGCCAGTGTAGCGAAGTAGAAGCACGGTTTCCAAGTCACGAGCTGGAAGTACTTGCGAAAATCGAAACGTTAACCCGATTTCGCATGTATCTTCTCGGCAAGCCGTTCAATGTGGTAACCGACTGTAACGCTATCGTTACCACAAAAGCAACAACACCGCTACTCCCGCGTATTGCTAGATGGTTGTTGAGACTGCAGGAATACGCCTTTAAGACGGTTCATCGGCAAGGCCATAAAATGCAGCATGTCGACGGGATGAGCCGAGCACCTAGTTTACCACCAAGTAAGTGTCAAACGGTAGCCGAAAGCATTTTAGCTGTCATCACTGAAGGTAGCAGCGATTGGGTATTCTTGATACAAATGCAAGATCAGAAATTGCAAGAAATCGCAACAACGTTAAAGCCAACGTCCACATCCGCAAAGCAAAATCAACAAGATTACGAGCTACACAGAGGAAGGTTATATCGCAAGATTAATGGCGAGCGGCGGTTGGTAATCCCTCAAATGATAAGATGGCGAATCACGAAAGCATGCCATGATGACTCAGGGCACTTCGGAATTGAGAAGACTCTGCAGCGGATTCAGCGAGACTTTTGGTTTCATCGAATGAGGCGGTACGTTAAGAGTTATATAGCGGCGAGCCCAGAGTGCTGCATCTACAAGCTTCGAGGAGGCAAAGCCGAAGGGCGGATGCACTTAAGAGAGATTATCCCAATACCATTCCGATCATTGCACATCGACCATTTGGGACCGTTCCCCAAAAGTAAGAAAGGGAATCAGCACATCATTGTTTTGGCCTGCGCCTTTTCCAAATAAGTAATTTTGAAAGCTGTACGAAACAGCAAATCTGCACCAGTAATTAGCATGCTACGAGAGGTGATGACCACGTTTGGTCAACCGGTTCAACTCACAACCGATCGCGGAACAGCATTCACCTCCAAAGAGTTCGAAACATTTTTACAAGCTCACGACGTACAACACATAAAAATTGCCGTAAGGATACCGCGAGGCAACGGTCAAGCAGAACGGGTCAATAAGACTATTTTACCAGCTATACGAACGACGATGAAGACTACGAAAGAGTGGGTCTTAACTTTGCTCACGCTACAGTGGAGTCTCAACTCTCAGCCAAATGCGACTACAAAGATGAGTCCGAACGAACCGGTTCCGCAAGATGAGAACAAGCGAGATGTGTTACTTACTCGAGCAAAAGAGAATATCGAAGCAGCACAATCGAAATGGCAACAACGATTTAATGAACGTCATCAACAACCGACACGGTACAATGAAGGTGAGCTAGTGATGATCAGCAATGTGTCGACAGCCACGGGAGAGACCCACAAACTAGACGCCAAATACAAAGGTCCATATGTGGTCACCAAGATATTGGACCATGATCGGTATATTGTCGAGGACATACCGGATGCACCGGTGACCCAGCGACGGTACTGTAGTGTACTATCCAGTGAACAAATGAAACGATGGTGTCAGCTTAACCCACAACTCGAGGTAGACGACAGCGACGGCAGTTCTTCAGATGCCTAACCGAGGTCGGTTAGTGATAGTCAGGAGAGGCCGAGCTGTAAAGTGAGAATGGAGAGAGCGAGCGAGCAGTCAGTCAAGTACGAACAGCCAGGCGGAACGGTTCAATAACCGGGCAATCGAATTGAATACTTAACTCTGTATCAGATAATTTATTAAACAGTCTATTTTACTTGTTATACTACTACCCGGGTTACATCTTGACACTTGGGAAAGGATGAGGTAACTAGAATTCCCTTTCTGTGTGGTAAACCTGGGGCTGCCGCCCCAGTGATGTCTATTATGGTTACTGGGTGTTTTATAAAAATGTCTTGTATATAAAAATGTGTACATAAAAATGTCTTGTGCAAATGAATATTTAACATTTTTCAAGCGAAAAAACCCAAATGAAAATTGTGATTTTTGGCCATTTTCCTAAGGGGTCCCTAGGGAACCATAGGGAGCCTAGGTGGTCGGGGCGACATTTTTGTCAATGGCGGTTCATGGCCTCTCCAAAAAGGGTGGTTGGAGGTGCCATGCCCACTATCCCTTCGCCCACCGCCCCTTTAATGAACGCCCGTATTGGAAAGTTTCCCCAAACCAACGATTTTTTCCCCATATTTAAGAGGCTCGCCTGAGGAGCCCGGTAGTCGGAGGAGAAAGAAAAGCATTCCATTGAATTCCTTTGTCTTTGCTCTTTCAAGCTGTAAAGGTGGGCGGTGCCACGCCTCTTCATTTTTTCTACCAGCCCCTAACAAACAGATACTTTTCGGAACCCA